ATATGCTGTTATAATATGTATTAGATTCTATTATATATATATATATATTATATTTTTTAATCCAATTTTCTATATAACATATCATAATATAATTGTATAGGTGTATATAAATATGTATGTATTCTATGTATATGTGGATACATGAACAGTGTAATGCATTGTTTCTATTTATATATATATATATTTTATATTATATATTTACATATGTACATATTTACAATGTATTATACATTTTTTTTCATGATATTTACATTATATTACATATTTACATATGTTTTACATTTTTATATATCTAAATATCATATTTTATATATGTATGTGACAATATATGTATGTGTCATATATTTATATATGTTATATATCTGATTATAAATACGAAATTTTATATATATATAAGAGAATAGATTTCGACGATGAAATTTTTACATATAAATTTTTACATGATAATATTTTTGTACTAATTCAGAGAATAATAAATGTTATGAAATAAATATATTATCAATCAATATTTATTCAATGGATCCACTATTTATGATCTGAAGAACTTGCCCTAAAATATTGAAACTGTTTCTTAAGCCTTTGTTATCTCAATTAAAATCAATCTATGAGTTTGTAAGTGAATAAAGTCTGATATAAAATAGTAAAGCCAAAAGAAGATTATATTGATATAGCAGATAATACAAAAAATGACATATTCATAATATTACTGTCAGAATTGTACTAAGAAATATTAAATTCAGAAATGATAGAAATAAGCTACTTTTATATACAATAAATTTTAAGAACGTGTGTCCAATATCTGTATGTGTTTTATCATCTCATTTTAATTAAACTTCTTATATAAAATAATGTACATTTAAGTCCAGAAAAATAAAAGCAAATTGGAAAACTACAGAAAAGATATTACAAAAATGCAAGTAAAACGAATAGATTTCTACACACAATACAAAGATATTTGCACGTAATAAAAGCTATAAAGAAACAGTTTTTTTTTAGCAATTTTCCAAAGTATAAAATAATTAAAATACACGGAGAAAATAAGTAATAGATAATAAAAATTTAAAATTAAAGTATAAAATGCTAAGATTCACCGTGTGAACAAAATTGCGACTCCAGCTATTCGTAAATTTTTAGTTAATCACGTTAAGAATAAAAAAGAAATTAAAAATATTGTTTTGTTAGAAATAAAAAAAAGACAGAAATTAAGTAAAATATTATATATTTTTTAATACGTATATATACGTGTATTTTATTGCATATTTGCATGTGCATTAAATAACTGCAGAAATAAAGTTAATTGTTGTGCACACAATATAGTTTTGCATTTAGTGTAATCTGTCATTTATCTATGTAATATAAAGCTATGTACGCGCGCGATAAAAAAGAATTTAAAGAATTTCACGCTAAATCTTAGATATTTCTTAAATAAGACATTGGATCTATGAAACTGCCATTGCTTTCATTCTTATTTTATTTCCATCTCCATTTCTTTTTCCTGTTTCTTCATTTCTTTTTCTTTCACTCCTGACAACTGATTTCTGAATTATTTTGACAATGCATTTCGTATATGCGGATAGGTTTCTCTTGATTTTTTGCAATATTTTGCTCGTCTATTGTGCAAAGTATACTTTTACATTTGATGTAATTGAATTGTTTGTTTTTTTAATTTTAGATTTCAATAATAAATTATTTTGCATACTTAACGATCAAGAGAATCGGCATTATATAAGTCGGAATTACACTGGAATGCTTCAGAAAATATCAGGTTAAACATTGCTTCAATCTGATCGAGACTCAAGCATGTTACAATCATCCTATGATAGGAACAATTTGTTCCGCAGCAAGAGGAGAGTTGATACGATGGCGTTGGTAAATTAGCAATTATAAGTTCTGGTGGAGGTACACATTCACAATGTGGAACATTAATTTGCCGAGAATGCTGACCTTGCGTGCGAATTATGCATAAAGGATTTTCGTTGTCATTATTGCTTCCAAAGGGATGATTTTCAGAAACTTGGACAGCATGGTCAAGTTGATTACCCAAAGTTTGGACAGCATGGTCAAGTTGATCACCCAAAGCTTGGACAGTCCTGTATCGATGCATCGAAACTTGGACAGCGACATCAACATGTTGAACTTCCAGATCATATTGAACAGCGGCATCCAGGTTGGCAACTTCATCTGATTGGTCTGACATTGTTCTGTGACACATATTTCTTTAAAAACACGATTAAAGTATATACCGTGCTTAAGTTGTGTCGAACTTAAAAAACATATTCTATCATGAAATATAATCTAGAAAATCTAAAATTTTTTTAGAACTATGTAATAAAAAAAATAAGTAAAAAACAATGCAACTATTTAATTATATTTTGATTAAGAGTTACTTAATAATTTATAAATAATACATGTAATAATTTATAGTTTAATTAAACAATGAATTTTAAAAATATCGTTGCTTCGTGTGTGCATGTGGACAATTCGCTGCTGCTAATTAACTAATGGAATTAATATAATAATAAACTAAATACTTTAATGTGTACGAATATTTTACATTAATAATATATTATTAATATGGATTATAAATTGTGTTATTACATTATGTTTTAAATTGATAACAGTATTGATAATTATAGGACTATTTTAGGAAGAGCAAATATTATAGACTATGTAACTTTTTTTTAATTAACAATGTAAATTGTAATCACCTGTTCCGTCTCAATGATTCAAATGCATGAATTAAAAAATATTAGACACAACATACATGTTTAGATGGAAACAGAATTGCGAGTATAGTGCTTCATAGCAACAATAAATTAAACTAAAAGTTGCCGGACATTGATAAATCTTCATAAATTTCAAGAGGTCTGGAGATAATTAAAGAGTTTGATACTATTTGTTTTTAATCCTAAAAATGCAGTTTCACAAAAATATATAATATATTACGCTGCAGATTGTTTATATATTACCTACAATATATCAGAATAATTGGAAATTGTAAAATTAATGCTACACATTACAACCTAAAACAGATTCAAATATTTATGCTCGAAAACTATCGATAATGTCAATGCTCTATTATTATCCTCAGATTCTTTTGATTGTCACATAATTTAGTTAGAAATAATTTTGTCGATGACCGTAACGCGCGCGCGTGAGTGGTATGTTTATGTGCATGTAATTATAAAGGAATACTATTTGTTTTAATTGTCGCATTCTGCATATTTGAATAAAATATGTAAAATATGTAAAAAACAAAACAAAAGAAACAAGAAATGCAAATAAAGCGAATACACTTTGTGACGGCCGGATTGCATAAGATGCGATGTTAACTTCACGTAATAAAACTCTATCAAAAGTAGGTTAACAGGAAGATATGCACTAATGCCCATTTCCACCAATATAGATTAATTTTAATCTCGGTTCAACTTACTCTTCATCTTTTTCTAGTTCTAAGAATTAGGAAAAGGTGAAGAGTAAGTTGAACCGAGATTAAAGTTAATCTACGTTGATGGAATCGGGCATAAAGAAATGAATTTACCGAGCATAGCAACATTCCCAAAAAGTTTTAAGTTGGAATATTCTATCAATCGTATGGATAAAACAAATTCGAATAAGTTATCAAGAACGTAAGTATTATTTGTCATTACTTAAGTATGTACGTTAGTAAACTGTCAATAATTGTCAGTAAGTGCTGAACGATGCTAAATAATAATGAGAGCACACACTTCTGCAGGACTGTAATTCAAGAAGAAAACACTTGCTGATTATATTTTTTTGCTAGTACAATTCGTAATCAAGGTAGCAAATTTTGGCAGAATGTATTGTGTGCATACATTGAATTATACTTGCAAGCAAATTTTACGTTAAAATATTACAAGGATTATTTGAAAATTTTATAAGTAACACATTCAATAAAAGGACAATGTGCAAGAAGTGCTTGTATATGTAGTATAAAAAGACGATATTTAAATCTTTGAATTATATTTGACAATAAATTTTATGTATTAGGGAAAATTGATAAAAATAACTTACGATTATTGATTGATAATATGAAGAATTCTTTATAGATGAATAGAGAACTCCAACGTCAGAGAGACAAGTGCTTTCGTTGTGAACTGAAGACTACTCTGATGATTTAGCACAAAGTGTTGATACCTGTGTTCTTTATTTGCATGGTTATATGAAGACCAATCAGAGCATGCCAAGAAGCAGTCCTTCAGGATTTTATCTCTAGCTATAGAAACAATATTTACGAAGCAAGGAAAGGTAAACAAATGGTAAGAAAAGATGGTATCTGGAAATCGACGGAAATTCTTATGCTTTATTTACCAGCGAAAAGACAAAGATATTAAGTACATGAGTATAATTTATCGTGCGCTTTTAATAAATAATAATTTATGAAGTATATCCCTATAAAATATCTAGAGAGTTTATAAGACATAAGTAGGAGATTCACTTGTAATATTGATTCGGAGAAAATGTTATCTATTATTTATATGTAGCACTAATTTTAGGGGAACATACGAACTACTTATAAAATACATATTTACTATATTACTATCGCACAGTAAATTTTATGTCTAAACGAACATTTACATAATGTTAAATATACTTACTACAGTGATCACGTCAATATATCAAACGTCCAGACTGACAATGGGATATGAATATAACAGTATAATAGAACAGAAAATAATACGTGGAAAATTTCCAGATAGGATGTGAATTTTGGCATAGTATAATTTTTAAGTTTAATTCGTTTTTTATTTTAAACTTAATTTTAAACTAATTTTATCGTTTAATAATTCTATGAAAATGTAAAGAAGCTAACAATTCTGATCGAACCGAATATATTTGATAACAAAGTTAATTGTCTATAATTATGATATTTTGATATAGTTTTTACAATAATTTTTTAAGTATCGACGCGTTGTTTGCGTGTCAGGTTGTCTGCTCTTGTTCGTTATAAGATAAAGTTTGTTCGTTTGAATATCATCGTCAGTATATACGTGTTGTATTTTGCAAATATATACACACACATTGTGCGATAATGGTGTTATTTGCACGTGTATTCCTCGGTACGTTCCGTACAGGTATCGCAATGTACGCGACAGCACCATTGAAATTTGCAGTTGCACTGCCATGTTCTCGTAAATTGATGAGTGTTGTAGCCGCGGCCGCAGCACATTAAATCGCATCCGTCGGTTCCTAAAAATGTAGAAATAATATTCTCGTGAGTGTGAAAAAGCGATTTTGTCGAAGAATCTTTCAAATAGTTTATCGATTTTATTATTTGAGAATTTAATTAAATATTAAAATAAAGAAGCAATAGACTAAAAATTTAAAATAGCGAGATATAATTTTGACTTTTCTTTTTTCAAATATAAGAATTTAATGATTTGCATTGTTATTCATTTACTATCGATTGAATTATTGTTCTTTATTGTTTATTGTCACTTACCTTTGCTTGTACGATTGCAGTATCTGCCTTGCGTTCCGAGACTACCCTGCGTCAAATCCGGCTCGCAATAATTGGGGGAAGATTGCAGATAAACCAGCTCGCTTCTCTTTGGAATCCTCTTCAAACCCATGCTCGGACCGCCACTGACTTTCGTCCTTTTTAAGACCAAGTGCGGCCTCTTCGGTTTGCTGATCTTTTTCGACGAAGGCTGCCGATCATGCCGCGACTTTGCAAGATCGTTCGGTTTGCCCTGGGTTTTGGCGTCGTTGCCCAATATGGGTACCATTTCCGACGACATGGAATGCGATATCAAGTCCATCGGCTGAGAATGAATCGCGTAAGATAATGTATATTAAATTTCGGAAATGATGTCAAGAACACATTTCTCCGTTAAACAAGCAATACTTGATAAAATATTAAATTAATTTAAATTGGCCACTGATTTTTATTCGCAATATTTATGGAGTATTTGTGAAGTAAATTACCTGCATTGTGGGCGAGGGAGACGGTGTGACTGCCATGACAGGTCTGGCCTTATAATACTTTTTCATCAGCGCATCGCCGATCTGGCGAAAACTGGGCAACGTTCGCCAACATGTTCTTACAGTGCATGATCCGGATACACCGTGACATTTGCATTCCGTCTGTAAAAGAGCTTTAACTATCTGAAAAAAGAAAATACTCAAGTTATTAATAGTGTAATTTCTACTATTTTCGTAAACATTCTTTATGCGAATGATCAGATGCAGTTTCAAGTGTTCTTTTTAATGTTATCCGACGGCTGACATTTAACATTGTGTTTTATATAAAAATGTCACGGCAGTAATATTATGTAATCGTATAATCGTTGTGATTCTCATAGCTGATCATTAAAATAATGAAATCTGAAAACTTTGTTCGGCCAATTTCAAGTAATATATGGTATAATTATAAAAAAAAGTTTTATGCAGATTATATTACATATAGTTTTGCGATTTATTTAATAATAAAATATTTTTGCTGCTTTTTTATATTAATTTCAAAGTAAGAAGTATAAAATAGATTTATGTAAGGTCGAAACGAGTACATATATCATATCGAAACAGATTACAACTTGTGTTTGGTGGATATGCAAGGTGTACTCCGATTTGTTCCTTACATCATACACGCGTGTCCTATGCAAATTTCAAATCTGCACAGGCGAACGGGGTCTTTCTGGTCGGAGAACGAGAACTTACAATGCGCCCGATGAGAACGAATGCGCCGCCTGATACCTGAATCATTTTCAAAGGACAAGGAGATACACATCGGTCCATTACGAAGGAATCAATGGCGTAGAGCTCCCACTGTCATAATATTGCAGGTAATTCGATTGCTTAAGCATGATTGTACAATAATGCTTTTTTCGTAATACTCTATATCTTACATCTAAAAATGTAAAGTCTACAATTGCGCTTCTGAGAAGAAAGCTTATTTGAGATTCTTCAACACTTTGACTCCGATCTCATCACTTGGATTGAATTTGGAATAAATTTGGATTTTGATATTTGTATAAGTAACAATTTTGTTTTCTATATAATTTGCGTTCGTATTCGTATTCCTGGTTCATATATGCATAATGCAAATTGAAAGAAAGGAAAGTTCATTATATCTGAATATTGATTTAAATATTTTAATAGATTGCTTCAAATATATGTATAATTTGTTACAATAATGTTCTCTGAAATTATTCCAGATTAGATTTCGCATAACCACGCCACTGGTGCAAGAGATACATCTCGGTTAACTCGAACAACCAACTGGATGATCTTAAATGGTCGTAATCGTATCGAGTGTTCATCTGTAAATTCCTACGCTCGCTCGATTCTCGATGGGGGCTTCTCATTGTGCATCGCCGCAAACGAAACTGGTTTACATCTCGAATTATCCCATGTAGCATACGGGAGTGGTTAAAAAATCGTCGATTTTTTAATCGTATAAAATATGTGGTAAGCAGTAGCAATCGATGTATAGAATAAACTATAGATGTAATAATTAATCAGAGAACTTGTTCATATAACAATAATTTGCAGCACATTTTTGTAGAAGTTCGAACATAGAAATATGTCACATGACATGTCACGAGATCTATTTCGCGGCTGCGCTGATTTTTCCGCTGGGCAATGATGCAGGTGTCGGGCGCGAGTAAGTATAGTTTTGTGTTTTCCGTGTATTTTTTGTGTTCTAAGATAATGCTGCGCACTATTTTGACTGTTGGGAACAGATTTCGTGACGGGTAATTATCGGGGAATGTTAATTAAGATATATGCGCAGTTGTCAATCTTTCGGGATTCGTAAAAATACCAATCGTATCTATTACATTGTGTCGGGTATGGCTAATCAAATCATTAATTTTAACGCATTAATGCGAAGCTTCAAATTTTTTAAATATATTTTGGAGCTATTAAAGTATTGAATCTTTATTATTATATTAATTGATGCATACGGTTGCGATTATCAATCTTTCTATATTTTGTTATTTTTCCGTGGTTTTATCAGATAGGTTAAGTAACATAACATCTTAGGAAATTTCGAATACAATCACGTGATCATTTCTAAACATGACGTCACATGATCTATTTCGCGGTGGCGTTGATTAGTTCACAGGACAATGGCGAGAGTGTTAAATGCGCGAGCGGCATCGTCGTATTTCGTACGTGTATATTCTCGTTCGAAGTGAATTTCGCGTGCAAATAAATATCGGGATTGTCGAATGTAGCAACGAACAATCGTCGTGGATTATTAATTAGAGCGTACGATCGCGTTTATTCGTAAAATCAACGATCACGGGTCGTGTCAGATCGCTCGTCGGTTGCTCGTCGAATCATTGAGCATCGATGTGAAGTTTCCTTCAAACTTTTAAACGTATTTCACGCGAATGTCGGGAGTGTCGAGCAAAGTTACGGGCGTTTTACGTTATTCGTTCGAAAGTGTATCGCGCTTGTAAATATCGGGAGTGCCGTATAAAGTGACCGATCGTATCGTGATAATTAGTGCCGTACAAGTATTTGGCGCAGTCAATGTCGGAGCGAATGGCAAAGCCAACAGCAGGACATCGAGCGGTGAGTAATTTTAATATTATACTTACAGAATATGCGTTCTCTCAAATAAGTGGATTAATTTGAAGGTGGACGAGAGTACTCTTCATAAAAATTAATCGTTCGATAAAAATCGATTTTGCTTTTTCGATAACAATCATTCGATTGATAAAATATTCATACCGAATTTATCAATGAAATTGCGGTTAATGGCTTTAGGGCGCGTGGTTCAATAAAGTCTCAATGGTCGTCGCATATCATTTAACGCCAGTGGTCGATTGTTTTTGTAATGCGGGTCAAGAAGAATAAAGAAGTACCAAATTATTCATAAGGCATAACCGTGCGATGATAGCGCGCGAGGTGGAATATTTTAGGGCCTGCGCTTGTTCGTTCTCTCGCAATGGCGCGACAGTGCATGCGAGCAGGACGCCTTCTGTCTCATATTACGACAGAGCGAATCGAGGCACGAAAAAGAATATCGCGACTTTCTTGTGCTTGAGACGAGATGAGAACGGATAGCCACGCTACTGGCACGAGAGGTGGTACGTCTCGGTTAACTCGAACAACCGACCGGGTGATCTTAAACGGTCGTAATCGTATCGAGTAAAGTAATCTGTAAATTCCGGCACTCGCTTCTTTCATTGTGCATCGGCCGCGAATGCTCGCGAATGGCCGCGGCGTATACGCGCACGAAACTGGTTTACATTTCGAATTATCCCGATTGCTGCATGCAAGAGAGGTTAAAAAAAAAATCGTCGGAGCATAAAGTATGTGGCGCGCCGAGGCCGATCGACGTTAAGAATAAATCGTTAGCCTCGCAACTCCGAGGTACGCATGCACATCTACATATACGTGTGCAACGTGCACCGACGAACAGCGAGTTTTTATTGCCTCCTCGTAATAAAGCCCCATCGAAGAAGACGAAAGCACGACGAACTTTCCCCAATTAAGGCGCGCCGCCCTCGCCGAGTTCCACCTCGGGCATAACGCGATCGTTTCTCACAAACACTCGTTTTCGATCATCGACCTTCCTGCGTGAGCGGAATAAAAGGAACCGCGGATTAGATCGTGAAGAACAATCGGCGGTACATCAGACCTTTTTCGCGCTCTTTTTGTCCGAATTTATACATTTCATATTAATATAAATCTTTGCTTTTATCTAATTGCAGATTAAATTATTTTAATTGCGTGAGAGTTTGATACAATGTGCAGCATCGGCGTTTAATCACATCGATACAATACTATCTGCATAATGATTCCGTAAGCAGCGATTGAAATGTCCGAGTGATACACAGGGCGAACAGGCAGCGTGTCTGCACGAACGAATCCCGGAACGACGACATTGTCTTTTGCGAGGTGATTGGTTCTCCGTGGGTTATTGGGCGATAAATCAAATTTCATGGCGTCCGGCTTTTGCATACGCTTGTGAGCTTGATGCGCGCCTCATTATCGATATTACCATCTTGTTATCCGACCTCGCGGTCGGACTTTCCGTCGCGAGATATTAATGCTAATCTGCAGATATATCTCTATGAACTTAATGAGCGCGTGAAATTTGCGAATGTAGACGTTCGGAATGACATACAAGACAAGCGACACATTGTACACTTTTCGTGCGATATGTTATAATCTTAGGATCACTGCAATTATATATAGTGATTGAGAGGCGGAGTATGGTTGGTGTGCCGTCATCAAATGCCGGCGAGCTTAATTTCCGCGCTAAACGATTTCTCTCGCGAGTCGCAGTAATTAGTATTGCTTCACGGCAATTATGACGCTCATTACATAGTTGTTAACTTTACGCTGAGGATACGTTCTGTCGGTTTTTGACACTCGCGAATGATCCTCCTTTCGCGAGAAAGCTGTTAGCTTTATAAATAATTACGCAGATAAAAAAATGCAAAAGGTATACACTGTCATTAATGATTTCGCTTACCTTTCTTCCGGCTTTGTTGTTGTGAAGATTCATCAAGCTCCGAGCGTCTCCTTCGATCTCTCTCACGTCCAGAAACCTACGCGCGAACCTAACATTAAATTTTAAAATTATAATGTTAAAATTTACGTCGTGTCTAGTGTTCGCCGTGCGTTCCGACATGTCGCGTATCGTTGCCGAGCAAGCTGGCGTAAGGAAGCGGAGTGGATAAGTGCGAATTAATTAATCATCGGCTTGATTAACATACCTCATCCCGTACGTGACATCGGCGCTGCAGCCGCCCCATTCCCAGCCGATCGGCGGTGAATCCTTCCTCGTCCTGTTCACAAAGGCGCGATAATTAATTGACGATAGTTTACGCGTTGCATTTTATACATTGAGATTTTACAGCTACCTTACAGCAGGCTCGCAACCGCAGGCCGTGATGTTACCGCGGCTGCAAGCCGCGGTCACGGCGTACGTGACACCGGCCGAGCTTATCGCGTACGTGAAAGCCGCTTCCCTGCTGCCTGTAAATAAAAAATGCCATATTAAATTTCTTATCATTATATGTTATATGTAGATCAGAAGTATCATCTAGTTTTTAGTAGAACGATGGAACTGACAAAGCTTCCAATATTTTTTATTCGAATCTCCAAATATTTAAATTTAATCATGTCAAAATTTACTTTCAACAATACAGTTCTATATTGTAAAAGAATGAAATTTCTAGAAATATATTATATATGAATTATAAGTGAAGAATATATTATACGCCGGTCACATGTGAACTCTGTGAACTTTGACTCGACCGTGAATGTTAACTCTCTTGCCGGGTTAATTAATAATTTAACGCTTACGGCTGCGTGCGTGAAACGTTGCTCATTTCAAGTTTGCACGTTGACTCGCGGAGCCGAGACACGCGATAGAAAGCACGTCCGAACTGGCGTTGCGCCCCGTCAAGCATTTCCATCACGCGAATTTACTACAACTAAGTCACCCGCCGCCGGTGTGCGCGCAAAGCGTGAGCGCAATTAATTACCCCCGCGCAGCGCGCGCCGTGCTCTCAGCTCGTTTACCATGTCGAATGAATTACCGTACGTCCGTCTCCCCGCGATGCCCATTTTTCACTCCGTCATCGTCGTCGACACCTACGCGCCCGGCTTCGTCTCGGCTCTGTCCGGCCCGGCTGGCGTTTCACTCTATCGTTGTCAAAGCTCGTCGTCCAACTTTAATTCGCGCGTCAGCGTCGCGTCAACGACGACGCTCGGAACGACGCGATAATTCTCACGCGGGGATTCGGTTGATGCTGAATTCGTGATGCAAATCAGTTTTTACCGCGCGAAGCGAGGAAATCGCTGCTCTCGCCTCCTCGCGATTATCGAATACACGTCTGTGAGATACACCTCGGATGAATAACTGATAGATAATTACACTCGGAGTCACATACGTCGCGGATGCTCGCAAGTTTGAGCAAGTGCATCTCTTTATTCGGCACACATCGCGTCGAATCGTTTCATCGAGATTGAAAAGAGATCCGGCTAACTGTAATTACGGGAGGGGATCATCCTACACGCGGTTGCGCGATAATACTACTCGAGCCGATGTTTGTTATGCGCGCAGTCATAACTCACGGCCACTGACACGCGCCTGCCTGCGCTCATGTTATGAAAGTAAATAAGCTCCGCGGGCTCGCATCCGCGCGACTCATCGTTCGGTTCCCCGGTTTTTGCGATGCGCCACAATGGGAATCTGCACGTCGCGTCGGGCGCCGAGATAGAGCGTTCTTGTTCTCGCGTTATGAGTGACGGTACAATTAGGAGTAAGTCAGTTTAAAAACGGAATTGCCGCGGAATCGAACTTCCTCCTTACTTTCTTACGACAAATCTGTGAGATATTAATTTCTTTTATTTTACATTCTATGTGTGCGTTTCATAAACTTTTTATTTCTGGAAATATATCACTCGGTAAAAAATTTTTATGATTGAGATGTTCTTTTTTTGCGTAGACTAACGGCAGGGTTGATTAAGTTATCTTATTATGGAAACGAAGTTGATTCCTCAGAGCGTTGCGCGACGAATGCAGAATGTTTAGAAAAAATACATGACGTGCAAAGTTGCGCGCACCCTCAGTGCTCTTATTGTCAGCCGCTTGTTGCCGTGATGCACTGTGATGTCCTTGTCCGTCGTGCACAGTCGCAATGAATGGCGGCGAGAAAACGAATGCGTTCACTCCTCACTCGCGAGATCGCAGCCATGATGCTGTGCTTCTGCTTTTTGCGCCACGGCTAGCCAGTTTCTACCGCAGACGTCTAAGAACGTAACGGGGCGGAGCGTGATTTCCACGGGGTTGGAGGGTTTCGGTGTCTGCTCACGAGTATATCCGCTTTGCGTGGCGGATTTCTTTAGACTTGAATTTCTTCGTGTTTGAATAAAAAATTCTTACAAGATTTCTATTTACTTGAAAAATAAAGATTTTCAATTTTTTAGAAAATTTGGTTTAAATTTTTCGTTGATAAAAGAATGACGTGGGACAAGTTTGAGAGGAAAATCGAAGTGCGTCCGTGTGCGAAAGGATCGCGCTGGAGGCGCTTTCTCGCGAGCGGCGCCTTCTTTCTCCTCTCGACGCGCCGTCGGGAGGAAGCCGATTGTGCGCGGAGACACGAGCGGGCGCATCGGTCAAAAGGTTGATGAATTTATGCCGGGCGTTTATGTCAAAGGACGGCAGCGCGGCCATCTATTTAACGTCGGAAGAGCCGGTAAGGGGTAAATTTATCGTTTCGTCGGGCGTTTGCGGCGGCAACAGCAGCGGCTCCTCTCTCTCTCTCTCTCTCTCTCTCTTCTCGCTTCGTCGATGGGCGGAGAGGAGGAAGGAGAGGTGGCCTTTCCATAAATTCATTTCAGCTGTAAAACGCGAACGCGGCCAAATGAGCACCGCTTCCATATTAGGACACGGCTCATGGCGATACCGAAGAGTCGTTGTTCATGCCGAACGGGCAATGCGAACGGCGAGAGTAGGCCTCAATCTATTTGCGCCATACATTATATACATTGCTCTGCGTATGTGAGTTTATGCGTGTGTGTCACGTCGCCCATGCACTTATTAACGTCTGAAAATATTGCAAAGCAGCGAGCAGAATGAGAATGGATTATCTTCTGGCGACGTGAAATAGTGCTCTCGTTGAGATTTATCTTCGTTCGATGATTTGTATGATTTCCGAGGGAAAGAATAAGGAGCACGTTGTTCACACCTGATATTTATACACCGAAACGCTTCGCTTATTCATAAATTCGTGAAAGTAAAACGGTGATCGTTCAAAGAGCAGAGCGTTTAAGCGATATTCGTAAAAAGAAAGAGAAGAGGACAACGCGGGGCCGAAAAAGGAACGGTTCGCGATCAATCGTTGCACCGGCAATCTTTTAATTTATATCATCGCGTTTTAAGTGACTCGCGTAATAGCCGCGTGAAATTTATAAGCTACCGCCGAACGTGGGCGATTATTTACGGTGATTGCGCGACGCGGGATCAAATTTAATAATGAGTTTGATCTCATCGCGACCCTTCGTTTACCCGACCATCCGTTTCTTTCGAGAACGGTTATTTCTCGAGTAAGGATATTAATATATAATGATGACGTTACATAAGCTTGCACATTTATTATTTTAAAACTAGGATTATTTTGAAACCAGTAATGTTCGTTGTTTTCTGTCATAAATTAAAAATATTTTTTTTATCTAAAATATTTTGTATTTTTTATTTCAGAGTTCAGCATCTGAAAGAAACTGGGATTCCCATCGTCGATTATGACTGAGGTGAGTAACACTTATCAAATTATTAAAAAATTTCCAAGCCGATGGCAACAGACGTCGCGATTTTGGACGAAATACGGAATCGAGTTAATAAGTCACGTGGCTAATTAAAGCGCGAGTCGTCGAGTACGCCGCCGGCGTTAAAACTGAGACAAAACGATGCCGACAAGCGTTAAATCTCGCTCCTCTAACGACGAGGCACATTGATAGCGGTGAATCTCGAATGCGTCGCACATCCGCCCACAAGGCGCACATTGTCGAACGGGCGGCCGTTTTTGTTCGACGCTCCGTTATTATGCTCTCTGTGCGATTTTATGGCCCGCGAGTCGATCTTATTAAAGGTAACGAGCCCGATCGTATCGCGTCCGGCGATAAAGCATTTCGCGTGTATCCGCGCGATACTACCGCGCCACCGAGACGATACTCCGATACTCGTATATTTCGAAAGGGATGATTTAATTCGACTGGGAAGTCTCTCTCGCTCGTTTCGAAGTAAGAATTTTCCCTCGACAATGTACGCGCCTCTCGTTGCAGACTGGTCTAGTAATTCGATCTGTTTGTCCAAGTCCTTTCACGCGGCGCGGCGTATCAGATAAACTCGACGTAATTTAATATTCTACAAGATCGGGAGATCTATGCAACCCAGCGTGCGGACTGACGTGACGGCATTTTAATATGTATCTGATCTTCTAATATCATTAATTAATTAGTTGTAACGCGACCAGTTACATTTATCAAAGCTCCTCGCCTCGAACTCCTTCGCGCGAGTGTGAGAGACGCGTACAAGCTGTATCGTAAACTCTCAGTGGGTGGACGATGAAAGAAACCCATCGGGTTATCGCCTCGGTGAACGAGCGTGTTCCGGCCACCACGCGGCGGTGTTTCCGTCTTGTACCACCTCGTGTCCGACAAGATCTTTATTTCGTCGTGAGAAAAATTTGTCCGCTCGCTCGCTCGTGTACGTGTGTGACGCGGAGCCTGCTTTCGCTCGCGCCTCACACTTTGTTTCCTCCCGTTCCTCCCGCTCTCGTCGTGCGCTCGGGGTTAAAGGTTCGCGCGTCCTAGTCTTTCTCTCTCTCTCTCTCTCTCTTTCTCGTCCTAGTCTCTTTCTCGTGTGCTCGCATAGGCGTTGTGCACGGGGAATCCTTATTGGCCTGCGGGCGTTTGTCACGGGAGGACAGATCGTTCACTCGATTCGCCCACGCGACCTATATCGATGTTAGAGACACTATTGGCGTCAGGACGAACAAAACGTTTTTTTTTCTTTTTTTTTCATATCTTGCATTGATCTGCAAGTGCGTTTGCATAAAGCTATGCATATGTATATATCTATTATTCGATCGAAGGTGGAGACGTGCACGCATGTGATTTTAAAAACTGTCGCGCGCGACTCGTCTCGTCGCTCTCTGAGGTATCATATTCCCTGAAGTGTTTGCATTAATCAGGGTCCCGGCGATAATATCGCGGATTACGAGAGAGGGCGAGAGATGTATTCCAGTTTGCGGACGCATCATTTATGGAAGTACCTTCCCGATTATCTCTCCGCTTACACGGTAGTTACGTCTTGTCTGAGCGAAATGTTATCGCCACCGAATCGCCGCGCGCGCGTTCAGCTCGACGGTTTTGGCTGCTAAAATATGTTCTCAAATGTTCGCACAAGTTCTTTACAATTTTATCTTGCTTCTGTGCCATTTTTTACATCCGTACAGTGCCTACCTGACTTTCCTGAAAAAGACACACCTTCACGGTGTTCCTGAATTGTGCGTAATTCTTTCAGTCACATCGTGTTAGCGCGAATTTGAATCTTAAATTGCATCCGCTCTCGCGTTTTTCTTTATTTGTCGAAAATGAATTTTGTGTACAAATGAATATCGGAAATGTCGAATTAAACGATGATCGTCTCTGTGTGTTTATTAACATATGCAATCGCGTTTTTCAATATTTGTAATCGTGACAGCATCGAAATAATCTATATAGCTACTTCAGTCACAAATTTCATGTTTTTGTGTTTCGTGTTTTCAATATTTGTAACTGATGTAATCAATTATCTATCCGGACGTTGCAGATTTCAATAGTACTCGTTTTGCAAAATGTAAACGAATTAATGCATTGGTTATTTGATAAAGCTTTAATTTTATGGAACGAAAACAAATTAGGAAATTTTGTTTTTTCATGGTTTTTTCAGATGGAACAATTAGCTTGCGGCAAGACAAATGTAATCATACGATCATCGCGTAAACATAATAAATGTAATTAGCACGGTCGCGATTATCGGTCTTTCTTTTGTAAATTCAAGCGTGTAAAACTCGGGAGTGTCGCGTAAAGTGACCGGTCGTATTGTAAGTGATAATTGACGACGTACAAGTGTGACTTTGGAACAATATTGGAGTCAACGGCGGAGCGAACGACAGTGTCAACGGCGAATTCATAATTAGCGCCACATAAAAGCGTTTGGAGTAATATTGGAATTACAACAGAGCGGCAGAATCAACAGCGGTGATACATCAATGGTGAGTGAATTTTAGCATTATGCATGGAGAATATACATTCCCTCAAATAAGTTACGTGAAATAACGATTAATTAAAAGATGAAATGCTCGATGGATAAAAACTGTTTTACCAAATCAATTTACCAATTTTAAAAAAGGGTGGAAAATATACTTCACTCAGCTTTAGGAGCGCATACGTCAGTTAAATCTCGACGATCACTGCGTATCGTTTGACGCGGACGATTGTTTTCGCAATACAAATCCGAAAGAAAAAAGCTCCGAGTTATTCATGAAGTATAACTGTGCGTTGATAACGGTGGAATATTTTAGGGCCCGTGCTTTCTCTCTTCCTCGCGATAGTGTGAAAATAATGCACATGAGCAAGATGCCTCCTTTCTCGTGCCATAACACGATGGACCGAGACACGACAAAGAGCATCACGACTCTTTGCCTCCGAGACGAGGCGCAGGATTGACTTTTACGGTCACGTGGCCGTCCTTTTGCAATCTGAAACCGTTCGCCCTCGCCGGTTTCAATGAATAATCATCGTTCAATCATCATAAACTGCCGCCGAGTAGCAATTGCCGGATCAAAACAGGGTGACCGTATTTTTTCTTGCGCGCAATAAAAAGACAACAAAATCGCGTGAAATGTGATTTTAATCACTTGGTGTCATTGTTGAAATTGAAGCAATTAATTAGGCAGTATGGAATAAATGGCGGGCAATTAACGAAGTCTATAATTAAATCCCACATGCCGGGCATTTTGCGCTCGAGTGATTCTGCTACATCTGACAGAGACATAGACGCGCGAATATGTTATTCTTTAGCAGATTTTATGCGCCCTTTATCTCGCGATCGTTCGCGCAAGGCCACGGGCCGATGTTATACACGGCGAAATAAAATTAGCCGCAATTAAAAGTCGCAGATTGGCGAGGCCCGACGAAAAAGGCGTTCGCGATATCGGCGCGGCGGCTATAAATAATTTTTTACGATCCTAATGAGGACCCACCACCGTGGTCGTAATGAATTCATAATCAACGGACGACAGGTTTATTCGACTTTAACGAATTGCACGTGGTCGCGATTCGGTTTTTACAGTTGTGCCGATTTTGCGCGAAACCGGCAACTCCGGTGTCGCCGTGGCACGAATCTGATAATGAACGCGCGCGATTCTTACCTCAATCGGCGAGTTAAACTCGATCAGATAACGTGGGACAATTAACCAATTACTATAATTAAGACACACACTTCCACTTAGCATTTGTTCGATCCGAGTCCGGTCGTTGGATTTGCATTCGAATCCACTTCGGCCACTCGTGGTTGTTTATTTTCGGGCGAGGGTTCCCATCTCTTAACGAGAGAGGCAGGGCCGACTTGATTTTTCTTAACTGATCCGGCCGTGGTAAACAACTGTATACGCTTAGCCGACATTTCTTCCGACGATGTCTTCGGTATATTATAACAGGTACGGCTTTACTGATAAATATTCAAACTTCAATTTAGAGAAAAATTTATAAATTTCGTTTTAAATTTGCGATTCTCTTCTTTCGAAAACTGCATTATTATTAAGAAAATAGTGATTCGCATAAAATTTTGCTCTCCATATCGCTGAATTTCAATTCGTTATTGCGTTTATATATCTCGAATGTTCTTCAAATTTTTTATCCTACATTTTTTTTACCCTCCTATCATGCGGTAAAATCGTATGATTGTTTGAGCGCGGACAAAGACGGCTCTTATTCGCTCTCGGAGTCGTCCAGGCTCTCTTCAGAGGTACGTGGCAGGTGCCACTAGATGCGATATTAAATAACGCCGAGAGATCCCTGTCATGCAGCCGTGTAATGTACTTAATGCGTCATTGTACGACACTCGAACTCGCGCGAGAGAGAGGCTGCGGCGACGGGGGGTCGCGTCTAGTATCAGTTAGTGCGGAGATCTACGGCCGTATCTCGTTTACAGTGTTCGTTATGTTAGAGCAGTGATTTACGGCTATCCAGTGCGCTCTCACGAGATGACGATGCACGCAGCGGCGTGACGCAAACGATCTCGCGGTGTCGCGTGTAAGCACGCGCATTAACACGCAGCCGCGACATCGTCCTCTGCGCTCCGCGTGCGATATCTCGCACCAGCTCGCGACAGTGGACTTTAATTCCCAACTTTATATTCCGTCCGACTTTACGTACTGCAAAATGTGAAGAGACATTTATATTCGTTAATTTTATTTCAACAATTCATTATTATTTATTCCGTTTCGTCACATTTACTAACCACTTCTAGGATATTCCGCTTAGTATTGGCGCGCAATTGGCGCGAAGAAGAGTCACGCTTGATAACAGCCCATTTCCTAAGCTTAATAATAACTAATTGCGGTTGAGATCGTGTGAACACACCGTGCTGGGGTTAAGGGTTAAATCCCGAGACACGCACGTTGGCTAGAGGCTGCGGGACTCGTAACTTGCGCATACGATTATTCGCGATGTTCGCGTGACATCGAACGAGCGAACGAGAGGCCATCATCGCGTTTGTTATTACAAACCGCGCGCAAAACTCTCGCCAGGCCCGAGTACCTGTTATCAGAGAGAAACGGGAGGAAAAAAAAAA